ACACACACAAAACAACAACCACAAAAACAAAACAAACAACAACAACAACAACAACAACAACAATAACAACAACAACAACAACAAAACACCCTGCTAGCATCACTTTTCCGCTTGATGACTGCACCTTTGACTTCTTTGATGTTGGGGAAGAAGGCGATTTGCACTGCATTGATGCAGACTGTTACTCAGGATTGTAGTGGTGGAACCATGTCTCATCCATGATTACAAGTCTTTCAAAAAATCTAAATCTAGTTTCATCCTTTTCATACAGGGCAAGCAATTTTTAACAACAATCCACACGTTGCACTTTTTGAGGAGGATTCAACAAACGTGGGACCCATCTCGCAGAAACCCTGGTCATATTCAAATGTTCGTTTAAGGTTTGTTCAACTGATCCAATGCTAAGCTTAGTTTCTTTGCTTAAACGTTCCAGTGTCATCCGCCTATTAGACAACACACGTTTCTTGATTTTCTGCACATTCTCTTCTGTTGTTGCTGTCACTGGGCGACTATCACGGTGGTCATCTTCAATGGCCATAAATCCGAATTGGAACTTTTTACACCAAAAGTTTCTCACAGCATAGGAAGGGCAATCAGTTCCGTACACAACATACATCTCCGTAAAAATATCATGTAGTTGCTTGCCTTGCAAGAACAAAAACTCCATTAATGCCGTGGGCTCAATTTTCTCCATTTTTATGTTAAATCTGGAGATCAACATACTCCCATACACTAATTGTGCGCTGGTGGTAAAACCAGTAATTTGAAATTCCCCAAAATTCACATGCATTCCAGGAAAATAATTGTTGGCTTTCACCCGAAGTTTCAGCTTTCTACATTTATTCCTTCATAGTAAGGTAAAAAACTTTGCAAGTGACTATTCTCCGGCGTCGCGTCGGTCAATAGATCTATGACTATTCACCGGCGTCCTGTATAGTTGCACACGTCGATTCTCCACAGCTTTCCATCTCCCCTGTCCGCACGTTATGACCTTACACAAACACTCATAAGGGTCGGCATTTTTTCAGAATGGGATTTACCATAGGTGGACACGCAGCCACTACAGTACTCAATGAAAGCTCCAGTGACAGAAGGAGGAGGAATTTCTGTGTCAGAGGTGACAGCACCAGAAGCGCCAACAACTGTCAGTCACATCCAGAAGTACAGGCAGCAAGGCGCATCAGGCACTGAACTCAGTTGCAACAATAATCTGTCCCCGCGGTAATTTGCAAATTGCAACCCTAAAATTTGCCCAAATTTGCCAACAAAAATGCTCAAATTTGCAACAAAAATGGCCAAATTTGCCCAATTTTGCAAAGAAATTAGAATGCAGAATCCATATAGACAATTGCTGCTTACTACATGAAACAGACTAACTAAAAAAGACTGGCATTTTGGGGGATATTTTGAAAATTCATACATTCTTTTATTAAAAGAATATTAGAAAGCTTGCATTTGCGGCCGCCAAAAACCACGATGACAGTATGTATAATAATAGCCATAACGTGCCTACAGAGGAGATGGAAAGCTGTGGAGAAGCGACATGTGCCATACAGGACGCCAGAGAATAGCCATCGATCTATTGACCGGCGCGATGCCGGAGAATAGCCACTTGCAAAAACTTTTGGTATGCCCCTCGTATGGTGCCATAAATATGACTACTTTGTTCAGATAATGTTAATATTTTTTGGTTTAGATAATAGCAATACATTTTTGTCCGTATAAAATCAATATATCTTTTTGTTCGAACATTATTATGTTGGTTTGGGTTGGGGATATTTGGTCCAAATAATGTCAATATGATTTTTAAGGGGCCCAGATAATGTCAATATGGGAGAAATGAGTTGATTATACGATCTTTAGGGGGCAGGCCAGATAATGTAAGTATGTGAGAATTTAATTTTGTTTTTATAATTCATTAGTTCAGACTTGTCAATAAGTAAGAATGTGTAGGAACTTAACAAACACCGATGATCATAATATACACATCTGTGCATTTCCTTCTCACGTAAGTAAACATTCCCAAAACCAAGTACCCCCCCCCCCTCAGGGCCCCCTCCCTTTTTTCGCCTCTCAGTTCGTCTCAGTTGGTCACTGCCACTACCACCATCATCACGAGATCACCAATATCACCACCACCATCAACATCATCACCAACATCACCACTACCACCCATACCACCACTACCATACTACCATCTCTATTCACCATCCTCACCACCAAAACCACCACCATAACAAACACCACTAACTTCAACTACAGCAACAACTTCAACAACACACAAACAAACACACAAACAAACACACAAGCAAAGACACAAACAAACAGAATACAAGTAGTAGAGACGATTCATGACGGACATGAGCTACCATGGGTGGGTTCTTACTTGAGCAGGTCAAATCGGTCAATCTTGGGGTTGAACCTGAAGTTGTGGTAGGTGGGGATGCGCAGTCGGTGAGACAACATGTCCTCCACTGTCGCCTCCGCCGTGCGCCACGGGTCGGAGAACTGGAAGTCTCCGCCCACCACGTCCTTCAGCTTTGACTTGAGAGTTACACTGTGGAGTATAGATAGATAGATAGATAGATAGATAGATAGATAGATAGATAGATAGATAGATA